GCTGGGGAATTCTGGGAGTTGAAGTCCACACATCTTAAAGTTGTCAAGGTTGAGAAACGCTATTATAAAGAAAAAGGTGCAACAGCAGGCAATGAAAAGGATGAGGGGTCTGGAGTAGCTTCCCTTGAGGAAAGACCACAACAACTGTGGCTCTTTAACTTAGAACAAAGAGGTAAGGGGAGGCATGACAGAGGCATACAAAATTCTGTTGGCTTGGCACCAAGTACCTTCACAACCACTTTCTTCAACTGGAATTGCCCTGCCTAGCTAATTCATCCCAAGAGAAACTGCTGGTAGTCTCCCATTTCCATGAAGTACATACTATAGAATCTGCTTTTCTGCGGCAGTGCCTGTATTTGTCAGGGTTTTAGCCTTCCAAAAACTACAAAACGCAGACCTGTTCTGGAAGGCCTACACTGATGTAGGATGCCTAAAATAGAGGATTGTACTATATGTCTATGATTCTCGAATGATAGAATTTTAATGTTTGACTGTGATTGTTTTTTTACTTTTCATGTTTCATTACCATAAACCCCATAGACTCTTGGGATCACAGGTGGTGTTAAATCTAATAAATGAATAAGTAAGTGAAATAATTCCATTGAGTGGTGTCAGGGAGGTAAACAGAAGAACTTCTCCTTAAGAGGTTAGAGGGAAATGTTCTAAGGTTAGAACTTAAGCTCAACCAATGAAAGTAAACGCAAGAAGACAGAGAACCAGCAAAGGGAAGTACTTGGTCATACAACACAGACTGAAACTGTGCATTTTGGAGCCCTCCCACCTCCCCCCCCACCCCCCATGTGGATGCCTCTGGCCAGTTGTGGTAATGGCAGCCAATTGGGGTAGCTTTTAAAAGGAGATGGGATAAATTCACGGAGAATCGGAGTTTGAGTGGTTCCTGGTCCCTGTAACTGTCTATTGCCTTGCAAATCACAAGCACCAGGCCTTCAATACTGGTTGCTGGGAAGCAAGAGTGGAAGGATGACTTACCCCTTCCCCCACCCCAGTTCAGGCTTATGAGCTCCCAAGTAGAATCAGTTCGCCACTGTAGACACCAAATGCTGGAACAGATGGACCAATGAGCTGACTTTGAAGGGCTTTATGTATATTCTTAGGATTCAAGGCCCATACATGGGCTGTGCTGGGTTTTAGCTCAAGGTAAACATACCAGGCTATCAGCTGAACAAGTCATTTTTCCCATATTAGCTCTGCTGGATCAGATCATAGTGGCCAAAGCCCATTGCAAAACAAGAGGGTGTTTACCCTCTTTGACCATTTCTCTTAAACACCTAGTATTTGAAGTACGTTGCCTGTAATTCCTAAGACAATAAACAGCCACCAGGCAGTAGTGAGATCCTGTCCTCTATGAATTTGTCTGGTGGCCTTTCAAAACTAGTTCAATTGGTGGCCATTGGTGTGTTCTTTATAAAGTGATGACAGCAAAATTCCTATAGTTTATCCCTGGACTGAATTCACTGAAGTTTATTCCATTTGATTTCCATATTGCTTTGCATTAAGGGGGGAAAAAAAACCTGATGGAACTCTAGAAAGCATTTCAAAAGCATTTTCCTTTTAAGATATGCACTTTTAAAATGCATTTCACTGCTCTATTTCAACCAAGAGTGGCATCAAAATATTCAAGTGTGAAAAACCCAGTGGAGGACTAAGTTTCCATCTGCACATTAATCCATGAAGAACAGAGCAGGTCAATTCACACTGGAATTCACAAATATGTTATTCTTCAAGCATCCTCCTTTTGCACTTTAGTGGCAGGAAACAAAGAAAGCAATCCAGCTGACTGATATTTTATTTATTTTTCTGAACTGTGAGCCAAGGTGAGCTTGTTAGATTGCAATCACAAGACAGGTTCTTAGATCCAAATGCAGATGAAGTAAGGCCCACTCCATCATCGCTGCTTACTTTGAGGAAACAGCAATAGCCATAAGCAGAGGCAAGGAATTTACCCTGTGCAGACATTCTAAAGCAGGGGTGGGCAATCCACCACTTCTACACCATTGATGGTGTCCAGAATCACTTCAGAAATGGGAATAAACCAAATTTAGAATTGTCTGGTGTAGGGAACCATAGAGACGACCTTGGAAAAATCATTCAGAAACCATTACAAAAACAAAATGTGCAGAAACATACTTTGAGCTGAGGGAGAAGGGGAAATATTAGTACTGGCTCTTCCTTGATTCCCTGGATATGAGAGAGGGGGTGGAAAAACACAGACTCACAAGCTTCTGTTACTATAGGCTATCTCAATGAAACCTAATTCTAGTCTTCTTGGGAAGTCTGTTTCCTGATGTGGACAAGCTCGACAGGCTGACATGGGGGTGAAATATTGCTTTAAGTTTGCAGAGCCATTGTATTCATTAAACACACAAAGACTCAGACACCAAATTTCCCCAGATTGTGTCTATTTTGCTTAAAGGGGGTTAAGGCACAAATGGCTACAAGCTTGGGGCACCTATCACACACTTTCAAAGGCTGCCAGGCAACACATAGTAAGGAGACACAATGAATTTATTTATTGATTGATTGGATTTTTCCCCCACCCATTTCCCCCACAATAGGGGACTGTGGGCGGCTATTAGTATCACGGGGTGTTGGTCAGGAAACTAGGCTCCCTGAGGGAAAACATGGGACAGTTCAGAATTTATTGGCTCCAAATGAGTGGGGGCACTGTCTGAAAAATAAAAGCACTCATGACTCATTAGGCTGATTATCGGACACAAAGTTTATGACCACCTGCCTTATAGCCTTGCACTCAGGAATGCTGACCTTGCTTCCAACATCTGGATCCCTGGAGTCTTGCCTACACCATGATCATTCCATTCACATGATTTCTTCTTATATGGTTCTGTTCATCTGAAGTTAACTTAGATACTACAGCTGGATTACTCTTTTGTGTAATTTTTGTCTTCAGTGGAAACTCACTGCCTTGGATAGCCCTTTCTTCTCCCTCTTCTCCCTCAGTCTTGTAGGATAGAACATCACCACCTTAAAACTCAAAAACACATAAAAACTGAAGACTTTGCAATGTCACCAGCTGTACTTTATGCAGACCCAGGCAAGGCATAAAGCAATGTATGCTTTCCCTCCTCCTCCCCCACAAAAGAAGAAGAAGACCCACCACTAAAGATATAGTATATCTGTTGGTCTATCTGACATCTGCTTAAAGCTGAAAGTTCCCCCCACCCCACCAACTGTGATACTCACAGAATCTCTTTAGCAAGATTTAATGAAATGAAAGGGATAGGTGTACAGGAATTCCGAGAAACTGTACTATTTCCCATCTACAACCATTGGATCTCAATGTACTTTAGGACGGGAGAGCCAGTTTGGTCTGGTGGCTAAGGTGCTAGACTAGGAGCAGGAAAACCAGAGTTCTAGTCCTGCCTTTAGGCAAAGAAGCCAACTGCATGACATCTATGGCCAAATATTCTCCCTCAACTCTAAGAAGGCAGTGGCAAACCGTTTCCAAAAATGTTGCCTGAAGAACTACATGGACTTCTCCAGAAGTCAAGACTGACTTGAAGCCCAAGGAAAAAAAAAATGAAAACATCTTTATTTTCTTTCTAACTGCCTTCCTGTGAATCCGAGAGCTGGTGCATCTTCTCACTGATAACAGAGAACCTTGCAGTTGGCTGTTTACACAGTATTTACTTTTCTGTATCAGTCTGGGAACCAGCTATTACAGTATCAGTAGCCATGTGTGAGGAGTGGCGTTATGTCTATTAAGCAACATTC